GCTGGAATACAGCTAAAATACAGCTAAAATACAGCTGAAATACAGCTACAATACAGCTGGAATACAGCTAAAATACAGCTAAAATACAGCTGAAATACAGCTACAATACAGCTGGAATACAGCTAAAATACAGCTAAAATACAGCTAAAATACAGCTAAAATACAGCTGAAATACATCTGGAATACAGCTACAATACAGCTGGAATACAGCTGGAATACAGCTGGAATACAGCTGGAATACAGCTAAAATACAGCTGAAATACAGCTGAAATACAGCTGAAATACATCTGGAATACAGCTACAATACTGCTGGAATACAGCTGGAATACAGCTGAAATACAGCTAAAATACAGCTGAAATACAGCTGAAATACAGCTGGAATACAGCTGAAATACAGCTAAAATACAGCTAAAATACAGCTGAAATACAGCTGAAATACAGCTAAAATACAGCTGAAATACAGCTGAAATACAGCTGAAATACAGCTGAAATACAGCTAAAATACAGCTGAAATACAGCTAAAATACAGCTGAAATACACATAAAGTCTATAGACAAAGTTTAAACGTGTAAAGTGTCCTGTCTGGACCTGCATGGACCTGTCTGGACCTGCATGGACCAGCCTGGACCTGTCTGGACCTGCATGGACCAGCCTGGACCTGCCGGTCCTCTCACCTCCTTGCAGCGGGAGTTGAAGGCCTCCTCCAGGGTCCGTCGGGTCTCTGGGACGAAGCATTTCTTCATGGTGGGGAAATAATGAGGATACTTCAGAGTGATCTTCAGCTTGTCTCCATCCTTCTCCAGAGAGGACAGGAAGTCCTCAGGGAGACCACCTGAAACAGCTTCAGTCAGAACAGAGCTGGTGCTGGTGGACCCTGCAGGTTCTGGACTCACCCAGCTGGTCTCTGCTGAAGGACAGGCTGGTGGTGTCCTCGTTCAGGTTCTTGTTGAAGTCGATGCTAAGGTTGCTCAGCTGCTTCTTGATGGTCTTGATCTCCTGTTTCAGAGTCAAACACAGAGGATCTGGATCAGAGGGTCTGAGGTTCTGCTGGTACCCCTCAGGAGGACCAGAACTTCACCTCCTGCGTGTCTCTGGGCAGGTGGAGGCCGTTCCTCCGGCCCAGTTTGATCAGACGCTCCATGTAGCGTTTGGCCTCTGGGCTGAAGCTTTCAGAGCTCGTCTTCTTCTGCAGAGACAAAAACAAGACGACAAATAAAACCAGGAAGCAGGGTGAAGACCCTCCATCTGGACCCCAAAACACCAGAACCTGTGGAGAACTACTGAGCTCTGACAGGATCCTGGGCCTGCTTCTGAAGGAAACTACTGAGCTCAGCAGAAACTGCAAACAAAGAGTCCAAGAAGCAGCTCTGTCAAAATAAAAGCCTGGTTTTACCATTAATTGTTTGTGTCAAAATAAAAGCCTGGTTTTACCATTAATAGTTTGTGTCAAAATAAAAGCCTGGTTTTACCATTAATAGTTTGTGTCAAAATAAAAGCCTGGTTTTACCA